ATGGGTTAATCCTGTCTAAAGATTCGTTATTATTATTATTATTATTATTATTATTATTATTATTATTATTTATTATGTGTATGGAATCGTTTTTGGGAACGTGAAACTCAGAACCTTCGGAAAAAAAGTTCGTTTCGTCACAGGCAGACCACTCTATGTGGCCTCCTCCACTTCAAACTGGAATTAACGCCAAAATACTGAAAATCTAACCTGAATGGCGACGGTTGTTGATTGAAGAGATTTTTCTGAATATCTTCGCCAAATTTGAGCTTCATCCCTCTAACATTTTCCGAGAAAATCGATGCTGACATCACAAATACAGCTCCTGCGGCAACCCACTGTTTACAGGATGTGTTTGCTCATAGTTTAAGGAAAATTATTTTCTCTTAACATCAAATTCGACCAGGAGAGTGGAAATACAGTTTTTTGCTTTTCCAAAATTTTACCTTTTTTTTTTTGCCAAATTTAATTCTTTTCTTTTTTTTTTAAAGTACTACTAGCTTCCATGAAGGCAAAATGTTTTTTCTACAAAGTACTTTTTATGCTCTTTTAAATAAAATATAGTAGATTATTCCCCTGTAAATATTTATTGAGATATCAAAGAAGCAAATGATACAACATTTTTTGTAGACCACGAGTAGGCCCTATTTCGCTTAGTCAGTCATGCGTGAGGTGAAAGAAAACCGCGAGAAGAAAATAGCCGCGCAAGATCCTCGTCAGGCACGATGGACTAAGTGAAAGAGGGACTACTCTTAGTCTACATTTTTTGTGCCATTTGATGGAGACCTTTTTGGGTAAACAGAAATCCAAATTTCACTGCGGGAATTGTTTTATTTACTGGGGCAGCAATAAACCACTTCCACGATATCACACCATATCGAATATTTTTCGTATTCTTAATGTAAGCAAAACACACCTCAATAGATCAGTGACCACGCTGTAGTCTTTGGAGTGGGTTAGGGTTAGGGTTACACAGGCTACCATGCTGAAATTAGTAAATGGGTGAAATTTCATAAGAATCCATTGGAAACGCATGGAAATATAGGACCCTAAACTTCATATATTTACATTAGTGACACAGTAGGAGTTAGTTATCTGGCTGTTCCTTGGTTACAACCATTCATTCGACTTGTTATAAGGGACTTGTCAATCATTTCGGAGTCCTTGTCAGCAGTTTTATTTTGAGGTATGGCATTCATGGGATATTTAATTATGGAAACAAAAACATTTGTTACATTTTTCTTTAGATCAACTGCTTTGTGCTGGGCATGGTGGTGAAAACGATTGTGTATTCCGCTTCTGCTGTTAAAAGCTCTGACCATGAACATGTCAAGTAAGTACTTTTATGCAACACAAAAAAATCAACCTTATGTAAAAATATACCGTCTAACATAGTACATGTACATGTGAATGGATGACACCAGTNTGAAAACGATTGTGTATTCCGCTTCTGCTGTTAAAAGCTCTGACCATGAACATGTCAAGTAAGTACTTTTATGCAACACAAAAAAATCAACCTTATGTAAAAATATACCGTCTAACATAGTACATGTACATGTGAATGGATGACACCAGTTCCCTTAGTGTGTTAGGCCTTGTGAGATAAGTCTTGTAAGCTGACCACGAACATATTAAGTAAGTTCTTTTATGCAACCCAAAAAATCAACCTTATGTAAAACTATACTGTCTAACATAGTAAATGGTGGAACACAGTTCCCTAAGTGCTGTGGTCAGCCTGGCGAGATAAGTTTTGAAAGGCCATTGTCGATAAGAATCTGTCAATCTGAGTCCAAGAGTCAAGATACTTCCGCTCACGTTGCAAAATGATTAACCTGGAGAAAAAGTCCAGCAAAACTGAAATGTAATGCACTAATATCTGAGTTCAGATAAAACCAAAGGTACTTAGTACCCCTAAATGTATTCTACCAAGGTAGTTGGCTGATCAGAAGTTTATAATGCATTGTAGACTTCTGGCCTTTTACAAAGGCTTGACATAAGCATATTTGGGGACTTAGGCAGAAGTTGAGGGGAACAGTGAAACATGCATAAGCACTAAGCACTAGAAGAACACAAATGAACACATACACTCATTTTCTAAT